TGAGATCGGGTCATTGCAACCCAATTATATGATTCGCATCCCTGTCCTCCCTTCCTATCTAAAATACGTTTTTATTTCCTTCCCTTTAGGTTCATCCAGTGGATCAACGGTAACTTATTATCAACTCAGTAGGTTATACTTATTAGCTTTTGACGAATCAAAATATGTTCAACTTGATGCTAATTTTGAACAACTGAAAATGAAATAACTTTGTCAACGAGTTTTCTGCATTCTTTTCCAATGCACACACGCCCACTTAAAAGCATGTTTGCCTTGCATCCAGGTATACATGTACACATATCCATGTGTTTAGTCATACCATGCATTTCAGTCACGAGACTGGTCGAACCAATTGGTTGCTGACTGCAGTGCTTGCAGACCGACTCAAGCTGGGATTGCTTCTGCCTTGGTATTGCCTTATCTATTCAATCATAGAACTTCGGGAAGTAGCACGACGAACTAGCGACGTCGATTTTATCGACAAATCGAATTTGGAGTTAAACCTTTATAGCTGTAGCACCTAACGGCTGAAACAACTCGGGATAGGGTTCTATTAGTCGCCCTTGCGTTCTCATGATGACGTAGGGTGTTTGGTAATTTCCTAGGATGGACTCTTTCCCTTTAATTTTCCATGTTTTGACGTCTTTAAGGCGGGGAGGGGGAGTTCTACCCTTCTTGAAAAATGAGATAGGGCGAAGGTGTTGCTTAGATCTCGCCTAGCGTCTCCCCGCCCCTTTCCCCTCAGGGCTCACTCCGAAGGAAAGCATTTCTTAAAAATCCTTCTACCTCCATCGAGTCTCTTATCCGCTCGTGGAGAAGGAACGCGAGGACATCTTACTCCCATGACTTTGCAGCCACGTAAAACCAAGCATCATCCATTAGACCAATTGGTACGTGACACAAGGTGACAGCTCTGCGGAAATGGTCTTTCAGCAAAGACCTTGGATTTTCTTATGCTTTTGACAGCCTCAGACTCAATCTTTCGAAACAAAGCTTGTGCAAAATGAAACTTGCATCCGTGCACCACAATTCCAGGGAGCACAATCTGAAGAGCAGAAATGAGCGCCATCTCGAAATCGCACATTACCTCCTTTGGCTCATATGTCAGATCCTCTGAAAGTCCCCAGTGAGCAAAGCTTGAGGTTCTCAAGAACCTCAAATCGGGTAAAGGCACCAGTTTGTGGACAGGTAATGGGAATTTTCCTCTTGAAAATCGTGTTACGGTCGTTGGGGTAACCGACAAACTGCTTGATTGGTTTCAATAGGAGGCCATTTATCATAGTTTGATGCCCATACCCTAAAGTAAAATATTAAAAATATACTTTCCAACAATCGCTGTTTAAATGGATGTGTTGAATTTCACGTGGTTCCTATTTGTGGACGGCCTGGTTCCAGCTTGTGGACATCCAAGGACCTAGTTTGTGGACACCAGTTTTTTTAAACAATTATGAACGTGCGTACGTCGAATGGAAAAATATGGGCATGAGACAGGTACAGAAAGTAAATTTATCTTCAATGATGTCCTGTTAAGAAATATTGGTAAAAAAATAAGGGAATTCAGGGGTGCTAGGTCTAAAACTGAGCGAAAATGTCCAAGTTCACACATGCTGATGGGTATGCGTAATTTATATGGCGCCTGACAGGCAAGTGCAAAATATGGAGCATTTGAGGAAATCAATTTTCGGCGTGAATATTGTGAAATGTCAAGAAACGCAAAACTGTCCACAAATAGGCGCCTGTCATCTGTCAACTGGTGCCTCTACCCAATGTATTAATACTTTTCTTCTCTGGCGATGACTCCTTACTTCTGGAATCCCCCTTCCTTCCCTCCCCCTCCCCCTCCCCGGCCCTCCAGGCATGTCTGTGTCAAATGCGACACCGATTCCCCTCTCTCCAAATCAGGTTGTCAGAGGTTTTTCTTTTCTCGGCTTGTTGAAAAAAAAAGTTGTCGCAATTGTCACCCAATCATTTCTAAAGTCGAATGTTTCTGAACTCTGCATCCCAAAAGGTACCTGTGTACTAAGTTTCAGATTTCTAACTCCCATAGTACATGGTTAGAATGAGCGTCTGTCACTCACTCAGCGAGGCACTCGCTCAGTCACGATCGTCTATATACGAGTATATAGGGTGGTTAAAAAAAAACGCTCTACTGTTTTCTATGGGAGAAACACAATTTCATGAATTTCGTGAAAACAATTCCAGTGGATAGGCTATCGATATTTGACTGCTCCCAGGTGTTGAAATGCCTGCCAGCTTTTTTCAACACTCTTGCCTACATTTTGCAATTCCAATTTAGAGATGAATTGTAGGTGCTTAGAGGTGGAGCATTCCACCTCAGGTGAGGTGACGACCTTTGCTCGATCGTCTCAGAATTCAGTGAAATTTTCACCTTAAACTTTTCAAAGGGCATGCATGCATATGTCATCATTTAAACCAGGCCTACCTATGCTGAGATTGCCACGAAGGCGTTAACGGGCGAACGCTACGCCGCCCTTTCATCATCACAGTCGACCTTGGGCCTTTTTCACGAAACTTCTTTAACTTTTCTTTAACTTTACTTTAACTTTACTTTAACTTTTCTTTAACTTCGCTTTAACTTTACTTTAACTTTAACTTTACTTTATCTTTACTTCATCTTTACTTTATCTTTACTTTAACTCAACTTAAAATCCATTTCACGAAGCCTCCTTAGTTTCCATGGCAACATTATCGGAGACATGCTGTCTAGTGTTAGGGTCACCTTCCCAAAAAGGGGGGGCCTCAGAGGTCATCTACCTATCTGATTGGAAAGAAAGTTCTCGGAATTTCTTGAATATCCAGTACAATTTTTTTTCCAGAGCAAGCTAGAATGTTCTGCGTGTGTTTATAAGTAGGTCGTGTCCTTCGGCATACAACCGTATATTATTACAGCCCTGGTGCTCTCCAGCCATGAACCAGCCCTACCCTCTTACTAAGGAGCAAGTTCGCCTGCTTCTTCTTTATGACTTACGAATCAAGAAGAAGGCAGCCGATTCCATCGCTGACATCAATACCGCGTTTGGCCCGGACACTGTGTCCAAGAGCACTGCCTATGATTGGTACAGTCGCTTCCAGAAAGGAAATGAAAGCCTGGAAGACCAGCCACGCACCGGTCGTCCTTCGGAGTTTGATAACTCTGCCTTGCAGGAGGCACTGGAGGCCAACAACCGGCAAACATCGCGAGAGCTTGCGGACTT